AACAGTGCTTACAAGAGGTCCCCGGAAAGTTTGTCTTTTAGGCCTGTAACGCAGTTGAAACTCGACTGTATCTGTATGCACGTCTATCACATGGGCTTATGTGTCTCTCCACCCTCTCTCTCCCTGTTTCAGGTACCATGGTCGAACCACCACGAGCCCCGGACAGGAAAGAATAGCCGCTTGTACAACCCCCCAGACTGACCTTGACTGGTCCCCTTTGATTGTACGCCCCCTCTTCCGGTTTCGGTTCGGGTTAATACACGTGCGTTGTTGCTACACTCCGGTCTTCTTCCCTGTACCACCCGACCTGTGTGCATGTGTGCTGTGTATACTGTGTGGATTCATTAATACCAGCCCGTATATCTGCACATTTCAGAACTGACATGTGCCGTCCTCTAGAACGTCGAATACCGCTGACTTCCTGACATCCCACGCTACAGGCCAAACCTGAAACTATGAGCTCGTACCCTATTGAAGATCATGTTGCAACCGTGGCGGTTGAACTCACAATTTATCTGTCTGATTCCTGTCAACCGACAAAATCCCCCCGACCTTAAAGACACATTCTGCCATCTGCTCAAACAGTGTACGAACGAGTTGTCACGCTAGACATCCAGTGTAGCTCCTTGTTCACATTTCTTGTTCGCTGCATCCAGTGACGTGTCTTTGCTCCCCACGTGGGCCTTACTTCAGGGAGGTATTGTAGTCAAATTAGGGACTCGTTCGAAAATACGCGCTCTGGTTCTTTCCTGTGTAAACATTCAGATACAGGGATACTCCCCGAGGGGAAGGGTCATCTCGCGCTGTCTCGAAGAATGGGTTCTTTGGGGACCCGTTAATACCGAACTGTAGCTGACGCAGAGCGCCACCATGCACACCACAAGGTAGTTAAGGCTTTTCGAAGATATCATTACATTCGCTTTCAGGGTCTTCATCAAGCCAACCACGAGACGGTTAAAGTATATTTTCAAATAGTCATTCTGAACGGATCGATCCTCCCGTGTCTTATTTAGCGACTTTTTACCAATGATCATTTTTGCCCTGAAAATACACAGACAACCTCGCTCGCTCAACGATTTATCCGCTTAACTGACCTGTGTACAGCACCCGGGAAAATGAACACAAAAACCTAGCAAACTTCTCATAACCAGATCCAAAATTCCAAAATCCTACTGGTATGAAATAAATCGGAGTAAGTGTGAACCTGGGCACTGATCTGCAAAGTAGTTGATGTGGTTGGCACAATAGGTTCTTCGGTGAAAAACGTGGAGTAGATGATGTTTGATGGTTCAGCTGTACGTGTACTGAAACTATCTAGGCGTGTCTTCTTGCTGACTCCCTTAATGCATGCCGAAAACGTGTGTACTCACCTCCACATCATCATCACACAAAGCAACATCACTGCTGACACCGATGCTTCACTGCTGTATTACCACAAAGTTTATCCAGTTACATTTAAAGACATTTAAATACATTTTAAATTTTAAAAATTTAAAAATTTAAAAATTAAAAAAAAATTAAGTACATTTAAATACATTTAAAGATCGAAAACGACAGAACAATTGGTAAAGGAGGGCGTCTACACCTCTAAACGCTCAATTAGACAATCTGAAGAGAAAATGACGGTACGAATGCCACTGTAAACGACCAGTCGGCATTTACTTCAAGCTCTCCAGCAAGCGCGTTAGGGGACCCCATTCTGAAAGGCGGATCGCGTCAAAATCACCTGAACTCTACCTCACCCCTTTCACACCCTTCTTCCAAGTCACACATTGCCAACCTCACGGTTTGCACCATTCCGAAGGAGACGCAGAAAACAACACTCGTCTCGGTGAACGCTGCTTCGTCATGCTTACCAAATTCTCCAGTGATTCTGCTTGAATTGTAGTTCGCACTTTGTAACTGCACTTTGAAGGTGCGAGACGCATACAAGAGGATTGTGCGATGGTGGTCAGCTGTACTTTGTCCTCAAAGATGAGGACGTTAGCGTCTGCGTACTCTAGATGGACAAGATCCTCTTCATCGACGATCAAAATACCGAGATTTTGAAGACCTTGCAAAATTTGTCGGCGACGGCGAATGTGAACGAGAACGGAAGAAGTGGACACGTTTGCCAGCCCCCTTTTTGTAGAGAAGCTTCGTGATAAAATACCATGAACCCTCTGTCCTTATCGGGAAGGTCAGATTCCTGAAAGCAACCACTGAGTGCCAGAAATCTACTGAAACTCTCAGCTCCGCTAAATGTTGACCAGGCAGAAAACACCCCCTCAATATGCAGCGCTTTACAGCCTTGCATCAAACCCAAGCAGCGAGTCAGCGTTGATCAAGTTCAGGCAACGCCCGCGCAATATGCAGCGCGTCGCAGCCTCGTACCAAAGCCAGACCGAGTGCGTCAGCATTGGACCAAGTTCAAACAGTGTCCCTCCAATAAATAGCTTGAGAACGCTGTACTTTCGCACTCGCTTGTTTGGAATATAACTGTTGTGTTCCGTTCTGTGGGTCTTTTTTCTGGCATTAGACACTGGAGCAATTCAGCAGCCAGATACAACACTGGCGAATCCCTGAAGTATTCTACCCATATATGTAACAAATTACCTGAAACAGTTATGTGAGCTTAACACGCAGTGTACTATGGATAGTGACAAACGAATACAGTACACGTGCGTATGGTCCTCAGTTCTCTTTGCCCCGTATGGGTCGATAATTCGCTTTCGTACGGGCAAATCCGTTGCCGTGAGTAGTCCGTTACAAATCCTCAACTCTACCATATAGAAAGGTAGCAATTCAATACTACGAGTCGGATATGCATAGGAACGGATGAAAATTGCTGCCTTAACAGACATACTATGAATCATGATGACAACTCCCTGATGCGGACGAAACCTGAGAGGAGACCAAAGCAAAAGGACAAACACGACAGAAATGCATACTCACCTGGAATTTCCACGCCGGTTTCAGGCTGAACGCGAACCACGCGATGAACCAAGCGCAACTAACCAAGATGATTGATACTGGAGCGGTCAGCATTAGGGCACTTTTGGTGATCCGGTACAATTGAAAACAGTCATACATGATGGGTATTTTGAAGGCCAGTACACAGAGGTAGCCCAGCGTGGCACACATGTGCGGAGCATAGGCATGCAAACAGCACCGGCATCCGGGATGTAGCAGCTCAGCACCGATATTATAACATCGCCTTCGGTAGGTCAGCGGGTTGCCACCAATGCATGGGTTCGATTTGACACTTCCCATTGGCCCAGAATGAACCGAATCGGTTTGGTTGAAGGTCAGACCCGCGTCGCCATTGGGCAACTGAAACCCATTACTGCTAGGTGAACCAACCAGATAGTGACGATAAACAGCTAAATTTTCTGTGAACTGACGGTAGCCGTATTCGAAGATTGTGAGGAACAGGGAGAGGAACAGAACCGTTCCCATGGTGGATAAAGCCAGTGGACCGATGCTGTTTAGACCAACGGTGAACAGCAGAGTTCTTCGGTCATTTGAGCTTGATTCGTCCGTAACCGACTCGGAATCGGCGGCCTTCGCCGTTTCTGCCATAGGTCGACAAACGGTGATCAAGCGCAGGTGAGAGAAACCGGGTAGGAGCTGTTGATTCCAGGCCAGTTTTGTTAGAACTGTGGCGGCACTGAATTCGATCAATGCGTGTAATCCGGTCAGCAGTAGGAGAAGTGAGAATACGAAAGAGAACGGTCGATTAGTGTACCAGAACACACTCGGATATCGTAAACTCAGCAGCAGCAATACGAGAGTGAGGTTAAAGAATTCCGGGGAAATTGCACGTAGATTGTCCCAGGCAGGAAAGTTTGTTCCAACAGCAACATTCATGGTCGAAGATTTGCTAGACAGTGTGACGTCAGAGTGCGGTCTCGATGTTAGTCCGTCTTCAGTTCCAAAAAGAAAGTCCAATTCTGACCGCCATATCCAGTCTGTGAAAAGAGAATCATCTTGGACTTAGAGTGCGACGTGACGAATATATTTATGAAGGGTACAACAATAAACAATATGACATGATAATATGATAATATATGGATGACTATGAAAAAATCGTTCAGTTGTAGCACTCTCTCGGTGACTAGGTGTATGGCTAACGGAATGAGCAGGAGGGCTGGCATACTGTCAGGCTTCCTAAGCCTAGACAGAAGCGCTTCCTAGGCTTCCTAAGCCTAGACAGAAGCGCTTGAGATGCTGACGTTGGATTCGAACCACGGACCTCCAGGTCCTTGAGCTTGCACCTTATTACTGAGCTATCTCGAGTCCATGACCTATGAAACATATCTCAGTAGATGAAACTTAACCATTCGAAGAATACAAAAAGGAACCAATCACAGGCTGTCTTTTCAGAAAAAAGTTTGCATAGACAGGAGAGTTGTATGCCATGTGGATGAAAATTATGCTGCAAAACTCACCGAACAGTCTAGAAAAGCAATGCTACCTTCATTACTTCGTACTTGGATTGTAGCAATGGTTCATTTAGACCTGTACTGAAACCGTCAGCCGACGATCTAATGCGCTGCTGTAAAAAAGTGTTCCCTTCACACTGTACACTGGGAAGTCCACTGAGCAATTGATCTGCTTCGCGTGAGCCTCCAGAGAAAGGCTGATGTGTGTGTGCTGACATTTCAGCCCAACTTACCGGAAAATCTTTGGATCGAACCCAACCTCAGCATCTCCTGTGAAGGTTTGGGCAACCTGGCAGGATCCCACCTTCGTGCTTCCTTCCTTCGGGTGGTATAATAACGGGTACAGAAACGGTGTTAGAGCCGAACATGCTGACATTTGAATGTCTTAACCTCCAGCTTCTTATTTCATGATCAGTAAACTGGACATTAATATGAAGTGGGAATACGTCATTGAATGTGTGCGATATTCGAAGAATGAATTTATGCTTTTTCTGGACACCGAGTATGAGCCGATTCATTTTATATTTTGAGCATGTCAGAACATTCAGAATATCAAATGAACAGGGCGAGATGGTAAGAGCGTGAATTTACTGGCCGGAAGGTCCGTGGTTCGAACCCGACCCCTACCACTCGACTTCCACTGTCTAGACTTGGGTCATCTGGCAGTATCCCAGCCCTCGTGCCTCCTTTAGGTGGCATGGCAGCTAGGTACCGAAATGATGCTGCAGATGAACTGTTATTTATTATTTTTATTGTTATTTTAGAACATTTCAGTGAGAGCTTCGAAAGGTTGGTCTTTTTTCAGAGTGATCTCATAATGAATCAACCGCTTCCACGTCTGAGTTTATCGATCTTTCATGAAAGAAGCATTACCGTATAGCACTCTATAACACTACATTTCAAATAGATTTTCAACAATCGTGGGTTCCACTGTTTCCGTTTTATGCACGAAATGAAAGTCGATTGTGTCGTACACTCAGAGGTGATAGGCTGTCAAGTTTGAAAAACATTAGCTTACAAGAAATTCCGAAAATTCTCCTATGCGTGGAGCGCATGTGTTACATAGTTGATCGCCCAAATTTAATAAGCTCGCATTTCAAGTACAGTCTTCCTTTGCTGTCCAGTTTATCAGGTTTTCACACCCAGATATGATAGGAAAATGGTCTATTTACTTAATCGTGAGTGACGAAAGCTGCCACCGAGCTCTCTCGTGGTCACAGTGCTACTTGCCTTAATCTAGGAAAATATAAAAGATGAATTTTGTCACTCGGTCTCTGTTGGGAGAGAAGCTAATTTACGTGAACATTTAGAGAGTATTTGTTGGGAGTTGGCATTATTTTTTAACCCAACCTCATGAGAATTGTGCAATGGCACTAAATTGGGAAAGGGTGGAAAATTCTCGATAGGAACCAACCAGGTTTGGCTGGAAATATGATGAGAACATGTCCGTTTCTTGTTGGTGGTATCCGCGACTTTTTGCTAACAAACAATTGATTCCACCGTCTTTTCTTGACCCGCATGTGGTTTAAATAGGTCGAACTGGTAATCCGCCAAATGTCGAAAGTTTCTTCATATTCGACGAACGCGGAATTACCTCGATGTTCATTTCTACTTTGCAAATACTTTACTGTTCCCGTCATAGCTACGTCTGAGTTGCATTAAAAGGTTGTCAATACGGCACCCGCGCCAGAACAAAGAGAACAACGTGGATACACTGAGCAGTGCAGCAAGAATTTTAACGGCGGACATCAAGCGTCCCACTATTAAGCTAACTATCCTGTAAGATATGACTCTTACACCGTTGCTCCAGGGTACACCTGCTCCCGACCAGAGGTTGAGCGTAACTTACACGTGAGAAGCTGGGCATTTAGTTAAAATAGCTTGGAAGACATTGCTTCTGATCAGTTTAGATACGGTCTGTGCAAGATGGTCATCTGATAGGTAAGGACACAAGAGAGATTCGTTGTTGCCCTAGCGTATTTCAAGCTAAGCCGAATTACCGCTTGTCCAAACGCTCTTCCAGCTGATTTGGAGAGGAAGCTAACCGTTTTGTAGGCAGTGGATTCTTATCTCCTATCAAGTTATCCCCAGGGCAGTCAATGGCTCATTCCTCACAAACCTGTTCTTCGTTAATCTGTTGTAGGGTGAGACCAGGTAATGCTTAGTTATCTGGCAATCATTCCTATGTAACGAATCCCTGGGTTGTACGTTTACTAGCAACACCAAACATTACTTTGAGGATATTCGGAAAGTCAGCTAACCTGGACCGACTAATCAGGTAAACTGCGAAAGGTGAATCCGAATTCAACCGCATGGATCTCTTTCAAGCTGGTTGGGTTGTCGTATCCAGACAGAATTCACAGTGTTGCATTTGGTTTTGACCAATGAAACGTCTTAAAATAATTCTTTTTAGACATAAACCGCTCATTCTGATCGAATCTCATGGCGAACCATCATCGTTTAGTTTATCCCAGTTCGATGAGGCAATGCAGCTGTACTACCCAGTAGCCTGACATCGACGTTAGACCAACTTATTGAAATCGAAGGCTAAAATGTGTCTGAAAACAAGCGTTGGATTAATGCCTGATTGAATTGTTTCCAACTGACGTATAATTTCGCATGTTGCTCCCACAAAATTAAACATCTGTATGCGTAAACAATCAGGTACACTGGCGACGAGGTGCTGAATGGCGTCAGGTGAAAGACAGTAAATCAGGGGAAAACCCACATCCTATTCAGATGTCTGTCTTCACGTTTGCGATACCAGAATAGCGAACTTGCACACGTTTTATTTGTCGAGCCCAGAAGTAACTCGCTTCCTGAGGGTCATTGCGCTTTGCATCAGTCCCCTATATGTTGGCTTGAGTGCGGGAGTTTCACACTTATTTGACAACAGGTCCAAAATCACACAGTGAGCACCCTCATTTGAACCAGCCGGCTCCAAACGAACGGGTTACCCTGGCGTAAGATTAGTTGCGTGGAGCTTCGGGCTTATTTATGGCGCTCATACAGTTGACCTTCAGGTTAGACGCGATAAACAAACCAATGCGTGTGCTGGTGGGCGCCATTCACAGATGTGGCTTCCATTCACAACCACACTGTGGCGCCCGATCATCACAGGCAACAGAAAGTCGCGATCAACCGAACATTAATGGGGTTAATGATTCCTCGATTTAAATGGAGTACAGCCCGACAGCAGTGGATCTAATGGCATCAACCGGATGTTCAGGTGCCAGACTTACCAGTGCACCGATTGGGACAAAGACAGCACATACAATTTTTCTGGGTACAGTACTTTTTTCGATCCCACGATCAGAAACAAGCCGCTTTTTTTAGGGATGGCGTACAAGGTGGAGACGGATGATGGGCGATGTAGCGGAAAATAGCAGTTCGAGCGTTTTACGATGTAACGATCTGCGTTGAAAAAGTGAAAAGGGTTTCCATCTGTTTCTGACAAAAGATTTTGTGAAGACAGGTTTGTTTTTTTGTCTTGCATTCATGTTGTTTCCCACTTGGCAAGGCGATGTCCTTCACGTGCACCAAAAAAACATCGGGTGCTTTCAACACACGTATGTATGCCCAGTTGAACAACTTTGCTTTGTTTGTTTGCCACGACAATTCGCCCACTGATCCCATAAACGGAATGCGTCACTAAACTAGACCGTTCATAATCAACGCCATTCTAAACGTGAAAGCGTTGAAATTGAATCCTACAAGTGTTCCACAACGAAAGGACTGCACTTACAGATTCAGGTGGATAATTCATGTGCGTGACTCATATTAGACTATTGCAGTATCCATTTCATTCAATCAACCGGAGACTCACAATAAAATGTATCATCAGGCTGATCAACCTGTAAGAACTTGAGCAGGTGGAGAACTCAAAGTCAGACACTCAAGGGTCAGTGCTCATCTCTTGCGCTCCAAACATGTGTGTGATAGTCGTGAACGGAACTCGTGCGCGTGTAAGATGAGTTGTGAGATAGCGTGATGAGTCATCCAGCGAGTAGATACGGACCAAATGGATTGGGGAGAACAAAAACCGTGATCAGATAAACTGAACGTGACGAGTGACATGTTATGAAGAGTTTCTGCTGCGAATCGAGTGGTGCCAAACAGGAAATACGATCTCGTAGAATGTCGACTAATAAAACGCCAAAACAGTGATGAATCATGATCAAAAACGTTATCGAATTTGATAAGCACTGTTTCGCCCAGAAGAAACAAACGAAAATTGTCATGTATTTCAGGTTCATTCTTTCGTGAACCGTAAACTAAATCTGGTATGGAAATGATTAATGTTAGCGAGCGCAAAATGATGGTTTACGCTGAGAGAGGAGTAATCGAAAACACAAGGTCAGTGCTATGACTACGAAAAAGGGACTATTATCGGCTGTTGATTCATTACAAAGATGACTCCGTATGTGCCTCTTCCGGCGAGTCGAAAATCCCAATTGCGTCCGCTTTCAACCTCATATGTATTATCAGTGGACTGTCAGCATCAAAAATCTTCCGTAGTACTGAACGTGGAGAGATAAGTTTTGGGTGGCTGGAATCCGCTAACTCATCAGTTGACCATATTTCGTCGTGGTGGAGTAAACGACTCTACAACTCCTCCACTTCTGACAATCAGACCACCTGGACACTCTGGTGCTCAACCGTACTCGTCATTGGATGATGAGTGGACACAGAAGCTCACGAACTGGACAGTACTCCTGAGCACGAATCAAATTCCAATCACGGACCAGTGCTCTGTGAATTGCCGCAGGCGGTGGGGGACATTCCAAAAACGCTTGCCACGATAGTGCTAATATCGCGTGCTAATCACGCGAGTCCGACTGTGGTGAGTAAACATGAGTTGTAGAAATGTGGGCGGAAATATGACGAGTCAGCAGGATTGCGTGTTTCCTGGGGTTCGTGTATACGAATATACCAGCTCGTCAGAAACAACCCATACGAGCCATACTCAAGTTCGCAGTACTCCTGAAAGCTTCTAGTAGTCATGAAGGGTTTCCGGTGGATGGAAATGGGAGCTACCAATTATTGATTTTCTCTCATTTTATGCTATCGCCTGGATCGACAGTGTACAAGCCACCTATAATAATTATGCCAACAATTGGTTTCAAGCTTGCAACCTTCGACGGTTACAACGAGACATCTCACTAAGTACTTGAGGAGGCTCCTCATATCCAAAGAAGTGACGCTTCTAAAACCAGTTACTCCTTGATGAGACAGAGTGTCCTTTGATGGCAGACAGTCATCTGACTCTTGGCATCACTAAGCAGCGCTCCGAAAAAATAACCTCCAATCTAAATGGTACTTTGGCGATCGAAGAACTCAAGTAAAAAGAGTGTGTATGTGAGTGGTGCTCAAGTCAGTTCAAACGCGTCAAAGGGAACACAAATTCCATATGTTCAGTTTGTAGCTAGAGAGAAGATTCTGGAAATTCCATCTTAAAGGTCAACATAAACCAACCTGATAATCCAGAAAGAACCATACGTCTTTCGGAAGTCATCTGCAGAGTGCATCTCATGAGATTTTAACACCGATTAATATGATGTGAACCGCACAATGACTAGTGATCTTGGCTGAGCGCAAGCTAGACGTACCAGTGACCAGTAAATCGTGGTCACATGCTACAATGCTCAACCTAATACCTTGGGGAACCGAAGGGAGTGCAGAATCATTGACCCGAAACGACAAGGAAACGGCAGTACTGTGCTTCTCAGCCCTTCGGCTTCAGATGTCTTCATTCAAATAAAAAGATTCCACTTTTGGCTCAACTAACTTGAAGAGGCGAATCAATGAAGCACCATTACGCATATTTCTCCATAGTTATTGCGGAACCTGAGCTAGTCTTCGAGAAACGCGCTTGGAAGGAATATTTCTCTCTCCGAGTAGAGTTTTACCGTGATGTGTTTGGGGACCCCCAGGCAAATGAGCATGAGTCACCCAGATTCGAGCTTTCAACAGGAGTCCAGTGGTTGTCCAACTTCCCACTCGGAACATCCGATAAAACAAATACCTTTCCGTTTTTTTTAAAAAAAATATGAGCTTCATTTAGTTAACCTGCTGGTAGACCGAAATACAGCTTGAATCCAATCGAATAACCCGAATGAATTCAGAATTTCTCTCTAGATTCCCGATAAACAGATGCCACTCCTTAGCGAAATACACTCACTTGCAAACAAATTCGGTTTTGCAAGAGACTCACCTGAAACGAGGGATTCAGCTGGATTCCAGGTGAGTCTCTCAAAAAACCAAATTTGTTTGCTGATGAGTGTAGTTCGCTAATTTCGTGTAATTTAGTTTCAAGTGGAACATAAGGTTGACGGAAACTTGGAGACTGCACCAACTTGATGAGCCCAAAGCAGAAGGGCGAAACCGGTAGTGGGTCATCGAAGAATTTTCAGCAACCGTATAAGTAATGCATTACGAATTTAGATGCCACTCCTCCTCACCGGCGTCGCACTTCAGTTTAAGCCTACGCTGTGATCCATCCTATGAAAGCTCACCACCAGACGAGGCCTTTTCCCGTATTGGTTCACTGAGAGGAAGGGTCACGTGCCCATTCCGAAGAAAACCACAGGCGATTTGTTCATTGGAATTCTAGTCCCCAAATGAACAACGCATTTTGTGTACCTCACTCCCCCTCTTCCAATGTTCTTTGCGTGACTGTATACACTTTATCTGTACACCTGTACACCAAGCAGTCTTTGTCACCCACATGGCTAGATAATCAGCAGACAACGCGCGTGTCTCATTCAAAGTGTCTGCTAGCACAGATAGATAGACACATGCTAACTTACAAAAAGCTGAGTAGAATCACCAAGCACCAGCGAACGACAAAATTGCGACGATTGTGACCTTCCGTACATCAGTCACCTGTATCAGCATCACCAACTCACAAACAATACAATACGGGCGTGGCTGTGCACGTGTGGCGAACTCCAAGTTAGTCAGCCAGTACACCGTAGACTAGGAGGCCTGGCGAAATGACTCATCGACTTCTAGACTTTCGCGCGTGAGCTCCACGGGCGCAAACCGACAACGACGGATGAGGTAAATAAGGGTTTAGGTGCTTAATGACAGTGAAAAACGCTGAGTGGTTGTAGAGAGGACCAGGTGGAAGGGGGCTGGCTCAGACCCGCATTGATTGTCATTATTAGAAAGCCTCTGGAGCCGGAAATCAGAGTAAATTGGGCCGCAACACTTCAAACGTGGAGTGAACAACTACCTGTACAATGAAAGATATATGCATCTAATAGAATATGGGGATATGGGACTGTCGCCCATACATCAGTGGCGGGTTACGATTTTCCTCCGCCCCTTATCGCAGAAGAAGTAAGTGATCAGGCCGGAACAGGGACTATCAGTCCCTTCTGAGAAGAGACTTGTTACGATTAAATCAGTAACGTAAGCAAGCTATACAAAATAAAGCACGCATTAAGTGAACAAACTCAACGTTTTCCGTAAATGGATCAGTTAGCTCCCGAAATCTTGACGTATGGAAAGACCTATAGTTAAACGGAATCGGTAATGTTCCGGAATCACTAACAGAATGTGAGGGACTGCTTGAGAGGAATCAGGAAAGAAATCTGTGTGTGTGTGTGTGGCTCTTCCATAATCATATCTGCCGAATATGAACTTCTGTCTGGCCTCCAATGCGTTGTCAAAGACCCAGGCTATCAATCAACCGAGGTCGCATTTAAAGGCTGATATGAAGGTCAAACCAACAGATTCCTTGCGTATTCACTAAGCTCAGAAAAAACATCAGCTTAAGGAGCACACCGAGATATCCTTAGCCTCACACACGGTGTGTCAAAAATCTGCTTGTTCCGTCACCGTAACAAAGATCGAGTCATTTGTCTGACCTAACCCCAAACTAGTTAGTAGTTTTTTTGCTTTTATCCCAACTGCGACTGAGTGGGATTTTAGAACGTACCAAATTGTGGTGACCTCGTTTGTAGGGGGTCGGAACATTGTGATGTTTTGTTGGAAGGCAGTATTCAAGCACTTCCTAATCAGTGGTCACAGTGTCAACCATAAAAACGTTCAGCCGCAGCACCATTCCGGTGCCTAGCTGCCATGCCACCCACCCGAAGCACGAGGGCTGGGATACTGCCAGGTTGCCCAAGTCTAGATAGGGGAAGTCGAGGGGCAGAGGTCGGGTTCGAACCACGGACCTTGCAGTCAGTAAGTTCTAACCACTTGGGCCATCTCGCCCCCAGTGTCAACCATGCATGACACCGGTAGATGTCCATACCCTGACTAGACATTCGTCATCAGGCGGCCACAGCTACGTACGGTCAGTGCCCACCATGGTTTTACTGTCTTTTTACATCCCCTTTCAGTAAAGCCCACTCGTCATCATAGTTCATTTCAGCTCAGACCAATCCCGAGTGCAAAATCATGCACAAAACATAATCAGGGTATTTTGCTCAAACTCTATCTGCTTAACTAGCTGCGGCTTCAGTGAGACTAATGGTGGACAGGTAGACGGAAATCCTAGTGGTAAATCTTGAAAGGGCCCCTACCTTTTAGCTAGTGAGTAAGACAACCTGGCAGATGACTGAAAGCAATCCGCCGTCATTGCCCACAAGACAAATGCTTGAGACTTGCTGTTTGACTGAACCGGCAATTTTCATTCCCTTCTGAACGTAACCAGAGAATTTAGAGAAGTTTGATGGATTGATTTCCAGCAGCCTTCCGCTTTCTGCTTGTTTAACAGTCGTGTACCGCTTTCCGTGGTTTCCCTGACTAAACGACCTTGGAATAAACTTTTGCCTGACTCATACGTATGAACAAATTGGTTGGCGGTATTGTTGGGAATGTCAGGCGAACTGTGACAGATGAAATCGCGTGCGATTATTTCGATCTGACAGCCCATAATGTCGTGCATATCACTTATTAATTGGTTGGATATTATTTTTATCAATTAATATTATCAATATTAATCCAAAGATAATTTCGAACTTGTTTCACTCTTTCAACAGAAGATCGTAATGACGCATGCTAAGGAGGCCTGAAGAAGTTTCTTCAGCCGTGAAGAAAACTGCATTCGGGTGGTACACAACTATTCTGTGCCCAAGAAATCGATTTAGTCCAGTCCATGTGGTAAAAGCCTCCTTTAAACTTCGAGGACTTTCAATTCCCAGTGATGCGTCCAGCGGAATCAGTTTAGATTACGCCAACTTAGATGCAGTTAACAACCAGATAATTGATATCCCGCTTTACTGTAGAAATTTTGAAAAATGGCAATTCTTCGATCTCTTCCAATAGCTATATGGCAAAAGTTTGCAATGACCATTTTGGAAATCAGCTGACAAACGCAAAACAATGTGTACACACCTCCTCCCATCATCAGTCGAAAGATACGGATGAACCTCACCTGTCATTAGTGAGGAGCTGATTCAGGGAGGAGAGGTGTTGCTCCTCACTGGAAGAACGACGTCCAGAAAATTGGTGAAAGGTGAGGAGATCTGGTCAGTTTCAACTCAGGTCTCCTTCTGGCAGTGAAGCCAAACAACGTTGATGAGCTGAGAGAAACTGTGCAGCTGGTTCATCCTTATTTGGCTGCATCAGTAGTGTGCACCTCACGAAACTCAGAGAGTTTCGAACCCGCGAGATTCCGGCCAGTGGTTGAACATTTAACCTGTCTGACTGGGGGCTAATCACACAGACGTTCAGCCTCTCGTGGTTGATAGTTTAAATGATTTAATCGTTCAGCTCAGGCACCCTATCGGTACCTAGCTGTCATTCGAAGGCAAGGAGGCATGAGGGGTGGTATACTGTCAAGTTTATCAAGCCTAGATAGGAGCAGTCGAGATGCTGAGGTTGGATTCGAACCACAGATCTTCCGGTCCGTAAGCACTGAGCTGCTTCGTGGCTGAATGGTTAAGCGTTCAGCCACTGGCCGAAAGGTCGCAGAGTTTTGTGAGATACGCACTGCTGGTGATTCTCACGAAGGATGGAACAGCTGTACAGTGCTTGTTGGTTCTCCGGCGTAGATTGGTTTGGCTGACGGAACGTAAAGGTCGTAGGAAAGCTTCCACAAAGGTTCTAATCCCGCCTGTCCTAACACGTTATTCTGTTAGAATCTACAGTGTAGTCCACCTGAACCATAACACCAATACTGAGTTTTGTTTACTGTCGACCAGAGAACCTCGACTACTGAGACTGAATCTATATGGCCTTTTGATGCTTGAGTCCTCCCTTCGGTCTTCCAAAACAGGAAACAGACTCATAAATATTATTGTTTATCGCCAGTGAACCAGGGCATTCCGATACATTCTTATTCGGTTTGCCCTACCAGGAACGAACAAAACAAATAAACTAAGTCGTTAAAACGTTGATTGGTTAGAAGAACGTGGTTGGAAATATTGTCACGATCTCCGCTCAAATGTATCCATACGGATCCTTCAAGCAAACATGCAGTGTGACTGTGACTCATTCGAAAGGATGCAGAGTGCACATGAGCAGAGTCAACGTGAGAAAGCCCGTCTAGTGATTTCATGACTTATCGACGAGGACTACAAATGACTATGGGGCTATGAGGAAGATTGAAAATTTGAATGTGAATTTAAACTGTTCCCACGAATTAGGCATAGGGAGAGTATGATGGTAAACAGCTAATAATTAATAATAATAATAATAATAATAATAATAATCGTTCATCTGTAATACTACTTCATTTCCTAGCTGCCATACC